CAGGTAGACTAGAAATAGGGTGTCATTAAGTTGAGAGAGTTCACACAAACTTTAGTTCCTTAGGGAAACAGTAAGATGTTTTATCTGTCAGGAAAGGAGAAGGCTTAGAGTCGAAGGCCTGAAAGGGCAGCAAAATTTGAAACAACCATGAAAGGGAATGAAAATAAAAACTAGCAATGGAAATCTGGGTGTTAAGGGCAAAGCTGAGACTCAAACCCCTAAACTTTTAGGGACTACAATCTTTATACTTGTATGATTTGCTTTTGGAGAATAATGGAGGGAGATGTTTGGAATATACATGACTGGAGTCTTTTGGGTTATTTGTGATGGAAAGACAAAGAGGAAAGAAAGCTTAGGGATGCTGGCAAGAGAACTGCTGAAACAAGAGAAGGGAGGAATAAAGAGAAGACTAACAATGTGTGCAGAACATGAAGAATAATAGGTGAGGTAGAAAAGAGGAAACGATGGTTAGGTTTATATCAGGAGATTGTATGGCTAGGAAGAGTTAGCTATATGGACTTTGAAATCTCTAAAGGATTTGGGAGGAGTGGAAGAGTGTAAACCAGTAAGAATGTGAACCAGAAGCCAGAATCCTCCAAAAATGATTCAGTGATGTTACTACAGAACAGAGGAAAAAAAGAGGTACCATGTGGGGTAGTCATATGACCTAGGCTTCAGATGAGATCATAGGGTCAGAAATACGGAACAACAAGTAATAAATCAATTTTCTGTCTTTAATTTTCTTTTAACATGTAGTCAGTGAAGATAATAGCCATACAAATCTTAAACAACAGAGAAATAGATGGAGGAGAAAATAAGTTTCTTTCTCCACACTTAGCTCTGTATCCTGTGACAGCCTTTTCAATGCATTTACATGCACACATATATAATTTTTGGGTGTTTTGACAAAAATTGACAATACTGTGTTTTTTGCAGTTGGCTTTTAAAAAGATCTCAAATTTCTTTCAATGGCTAGCTCCTTAGTTCAAAACATCTTGTAGTAATAGATACGCCATTAACCGTTTCCCATTGATAGATGTTCATGTTGTTTCCATTTTTTTCACTATTCAAACAATGCTGTAGTATTTTCACTATTCAAACAATGCTATCGTACCTACATTTTTGTGCATGTAAGGATTTCTCGACAATACTTATTAAATTGCTAAATTGAAGATTACGTACAATTAATATTTTGATAACTGTTACATTTCCCTTCAAAAATGCTGTGCCAGTTTACATTTCTGCCAACAGTGTATGAGATTACAGTATTCCTCACGTCCTCGCCAGGGACAAATATTGTAATTCTTTTTGAAATTTAAGATAGAGTGGAAAAATTAGAGGCAGGTTTTCAACCAGTCAACAAAATGACTAAGACTGCTGCTGTTGTAATGAGGCAGACTTGAGTTCGTATCTCAGTTTTGCCACTGAACTAAGTTACGGTGTTGTGGTAGGTCTACATTTGGGGCGCAAAAGGATAGTATTTATGGAGAGAATTCGGTAGGATTTATCATTGTAACAGAACTGCGAGCTAATATCAGCCATCAGATACTTCATTATGCTTCCGATTTTATCAGGAGTTGAGTTGATCCCATTTGGAGTTTATTTAACAGGCTCAAATTTTCCAAAAAGATAATCGGAATATATGCTGAAAGTGAGGCAAAATATTTCAACAGGTGTCGTCTTGAAAAATTGGAAATAAAGAGTGTGAGGCACTAAATCACACTGGGTATTTTCAGCGTTTAGACTCTGGAGAGATGAAATGCACCGTGACTACGATGAGATCATGAATTCTCTGTAGGCAGCTCGTCTGGGATTACCGGCTGGCAGATGCCTCTTTTCTGCCAAGTAACTACAGTTAGGAAGTGACTCCTGGAAGAAAATCCGTCAGGATTCAATATGCTCCTCATCCTTCTAGTGCACTGAGGGCACCTGCCTAGAGTAAGATGGCGCTTTTCTTTTTGATTTTTATAAAGACGGGGTTTCATCATGTTGGTCAGGCTGGTCTTGAACACCCGACCTCAGGTGATCAGCCCGCCTTGGCCTCCAAAGTGTTTGGATTACAGGCGTGAGCCACCACGTCCGGCCTCTTTTTTTTTTTTTTCTTGAGACGAGTTTCGCTCTTGTTACCCACGCTGTAGCGCAATGGCGCGATCTCGGCTCACTGCAACCTCCGCCTCCCGGGTTCAGGCAATTCTCCTGCCTCAGCCTCCCCAGTAGCTGGGACTACAGGCGTGCGCCACCACGCCCAGCTAATTTTTTTGTATTTTCAGTAGAGACGGGTTTCACCTTGTTGGCCAGGGTGGTCTGGATCTCTTGACCTCGTGATCCGCCCGCCTCGGCCTCCCAAAGTGCTGGGATTACAGGCGTGAAGATGGCGCTTTTCTTAAGCACCTCTCTGGGAGGGAGATTTCCCTAACGAGAGTCAAGCACTGAGAGGCATCTTTGCCATTACCCAAGATGGTGAGCCGTACACCCTCACCGTTTCCAGGTTTCAATATGGCCTTCCGCGTCACCGAAAAGGTTAATCTGAGAAACGCGCGCGGAAGTGACGCAAGCAGAAGTTGTCGCGCTCTGCGTCTCCACCGCCCGCGCTCCGCCCCCGTCTTACGTCTCGCCCCCGGCAGCGCGGACCGCGGAGCCAAGATGGCGGCCGAGTTGGAGTACGAGTCTGTGCTGTGTGTGAAGCCGGACGTCAGCGTCTACCGGATTCCGCCCCGGGCCTCCAACCGCGGTTACAGGTGCTAACCCCGAGGCGCTGCCGCACACGCGTACTCTGTCGCGGATGACAGCTTCCTTTTCAGCCAGCACGCTGCCTGTCCCTGCCACTGCTACCTCTGTATTGTCACCTTGCTGAACTCCCTACCTGGGTTGTCATCTCCTTCACCTCCTGCTCCATCTCCACTCTGGACTGTCATCACCATATTTCTGCCTTTTTTTTTTTTTTTTTTTTTTTTTTTTTAATTACCACTCTGCATTAGTCCACTCCGCCTCCCCCGTAACCCCCCGGGACACCCATCTGCTCCCCATCATCCACTTTCAGTCGTGCCTGCTCCATCGCCAGTCCCCTTTCATTCGCTCTTCCCTGCGTCCTTTAGCTTATCATCCTCGTCCTCTCTGTCTCACACACACCTTTCCAGCACCCCATGCACAATTACGGGTGATCATATTGCTTGCCATTCTGTGGATGATCTGATTTATTTTTTGTACTGTTGTCAATTTCGTCACCAACTGTCATCATCCACCATTCGATTTTTCCTTCAGCTGTTTTACCAGTGAGCAAAGGTTATGATCGTAAGCTTTACAACGATTGTTCATTGTTTCTTCTCCTCGTATTTTCTTGATGATTATATAGTATGTTCTGTCTTCCTTCCTTACCTCCCTTCCTAATCTCTCCTACACCTTTTGTCTCCAAAGTTGAGGCAGTATTTTTCTCTGTAGGGCCTGACTAACCACCTTGTAATCCAATGACTGTGAGGTTCTGAGGATGCTATAGGACGTTATGTAGTTGAAAGTTCACTGGGCTCCATGTTAAAAAAGATGCGTGTGAGCCCTTTCCAAGGCTCAATTTTCTCATCTGTAAAATAGAAGAAAAAAAAACCCTGTTAGTGATGATACCTTCGCTCTTCTGATAATATACTTAACAAGGGTTTTTGGAAGAGTAAAATTAAATCATATAATGGATGTGAAATAATGTTGGAAATACAATAAAGCAGTTATAAATACTATTTGTTTGTTATGTTTTTTGTTTATTTGTTTTTTGAGACAGAGTCTCGCTCTGTTGCCCAGGCTGGAGTGCAATAGCGTGATCTCAGCTCACTGCAACCTCTGCCTCCTGGGTTCAAGTGGTTCTTCTGCCTCAGCCTCCCAAATAGCTGGCATTACAGGCACGCACCACCACACCCGGCTGAGTTTTGAATTGTTAGTAGAGATGGGGTTTCACCAGGTTGGCCAGGCTGGTCTTGAACTCCTGACCTTGTGATCGCCCTCAGCCTCCCAAAGTGCTGGAATTACAGGCATGAGCCACCTCACTACGCATAGTTT